AACTTTTTGTTCAAATCACGGGGGTCGTGAATTGAGAAGCACACGTTATAGTAGGTGCTGCCCCAAAAGAATGCACCTGTTCATGATGTGCGATGGGGGTATTAACGCTCCAGTGTTCTGCATATCAATGCCATGTAATAAAATGCTCCTAATGTCAAATATTAAACCCTGCCAGTTTGCATTGATGTCATTTCCAACCACTGAACTTTCAGGATAATCTCTCTCTCTTTTTCTCGCCCTCTCTTTCTCTTTCTTTGTTTGTGCTCTCATCTCACTTTTTTCTCTTTTTTTATATATAAAATGTGTGTATATAAATAAACAAACTCTCGAGTTAATATGTTTAATACTTTCTAAAATTAATTGACAAAGTCTAACTAGAAAGCTCTGCTAATCTGTAAAACTGAACTGAGCCATATGTTAAGTAACGTGTGCTAAAAAAACAACCAGCGAGTCTGCCAGATTTTTTGGTCCGAATTTTTATAAAGAGAATAAGATTTTTATAGCATAACATAAATTTTTTTTGCAAAAAATGATAAAGCAAGATAATCAACCTAACCACTACTTATTCACATGAGGTGTCATATGGAATTTAAAATAAACTTTCATGCGAACAAAACTGCTCCAGACGACGACTTAAATATGAATCAAAATATGTTGGATGGTAGGATGCCGCCGAATATAAACGCAAGCGGACTCTTCGAGGATGAAAACATCCATCCAGAATGAAAACATTAGAAACTCGGTTAGAAACTATCGATAAAGATGAGATAACGTTTGAGCCAACGATACAAATTCCTGTTCGAAAACTTTCTTCAAAAAATTTTCTTGTTTAAAAGGCAAAATTTCGGTGCAATGTTTGTGTGAATAAAATGGCCTTAATGACAATGCTAATGATGATGGTTACAAAGACGACTATAATATTGATGGTGGCAACAACAACCCCAACAACATCAACAACAACAACGACGACGATGGTGATAGTGATGAAGACAATAACGTTGGAACGATTATGTTGTACTTAGAAAGGTGTGGTCTCGTGCCAAGACAGGAATTAACTCATGGCCTTTCACCACCTCTTAGTGGTAGAAACGGAGCGACTTGCCTGCGTGTAATTTCAGCTAATTAACATATTAATTAAGAAATAACAGAACATTTTATTTAGAAGAATAAGCAAGTGGTTAAAAACACTTTAAAAATAGAAGTTATTTCAATTCATCGCCAATAAATTTGTACAGGCTCTTTTATAAATATATATATAACGGTGTTGTTTTATTCATTATAAGTATATACCGACAACGTCCAAACACCAAAATTAATTAATTAATTAATTGATCAATTAATGCAATGTTAATTGTCACCGTTTGTAAGAAGAAAAAGCAGTGATTCATCTGCAAACATGCTGATGAATGCTCCTGCCACGACAACATTGATGAACTGCTGCTCTCCAAAAATTAGCTAATTGCCGTTGAGGTTGAGTGTTTTCAACAGGTCTTGCCCGGAAATGTTGGTGTATTCAGTTCTCTTATCTATTTAATACACTGTTTTACAAATTTACTGTTTTTCACCTAGACACATCCGTCCACACACAAACACACACACACACACTACACACATACACACACACATATACACACACAAACACACACATACACACACACACGCGACACATAAACGCATAGAGGATATGATTTTTGCATTGCACATTGGTATGTCAAAATTCAGTATGCATGTGTCTGTTCTGTTGACTTGATGCATGTTCCCTGGCAATTTATGGCTGTTAAATCGACAAATAAATTTATTTCGGAGCATGCTTCTCCATTTTATTGTTACATCGTTCAGCATCATTTGAATATAAATGCTGCATCGACTTGTTTCTTCTTCCTCTTCTCTATCTTCTCTCTCTCATCCCAGATTGCATCAGTTTTACCATCTTTTCAGATTAACAAGTTTTTCTGCTCATGTGCCGGTGATTAAAAAATACAAACATTTTTAAATTATGAATCGTAAAAATTGATCAAAATTTTGCATTTGTTTTATGTTAGGTATTGAAGAATATTTTGGTGATCGTGTATGTTTTTATAAATTTGGTTCACAAATTACATCAAATTTTTAAGGAGGTGAAAGGGTATGGTTGTTTTAAAAAAATGCAGATCATCAATGATGAGAAAGAAATACAAAAAATGTTGAACTCCTTCAAAGAAATTGTTTGCACTGGAGGAGTTTGAAGCTTGATTCAAACCTTGGTGCAATTTTAATGCCATGCATATGATCGAGAGATTATGCGGTCCGTGAACATTTATTTGGCGAATGAATTAATTGATTGGATAAACTATGCATCATTTATTTTATTTAATTGAAAATTCACAAATAAATTTTAAAAAAGTAAAATGTTTTCAAACGTTGCCTGTCAAAATTGACCTGTTATGTCCGCAATAGATGATGTCTTATTTTTCCTCCGTTGTATCCTTAACATACAACAAAAATTTTTGTTAATTTTATTATTTTAATTTTGTATGAACTAATTTTTTGAATGTGGCTTATTTTTATATTTTTGATAAACTTGTTTAAGATAACATTTTACCAAAAAAACTTTCTAGGCCTAGAAGAGGTTAAACATTTTCCAGTATGGACGCTCAAAGACATTTTATTATTATTTCCCATATATTTTGATCAATCTATCTGTATTTGATGTTTTTTATCAGTTTGAAATTAATTGAAATCAAAGGTGATACACCTCGGACACACACGCGTGCGCACAAACACACATTTAAATAAGAAAATTTTGTCAGTTTTGGAAAATGTGCTTTTACCAACAAATCAACTGTGGACCTGTTGAAAATGTGCGCTACAATCAGCCATTAGCCAACAAGTCTGACGTTGAATAGCAAATATATTGAAATGTTCATCATAATTTCTCCAATTGTTGCTATATTGATTCACATGCTTCATCTTTTTCTGTAAAAGTTTGATTCCACGCCATTATTGTTTGACCCTGTCAAAGTTTGCATTGATCGATTCATTTGTGCTGATTTTAATCACGCACGACATCCAATGAACAGGTCTTCTAGAGATTCTGAATAAATTTTGTTTTTACAAATAAAATTTAGATATTGAAAATTATGATATTCATAACAAATTATGCTTAATATCCCATATTTATACAGTGCTTTCAAAAAACAAGAATGACGTTTATAAAAAAAAATTTTTTCTCGTGAATGTTCACCACGTTATTCACTCTTAACTAAAACTGATTTGTTTAAAAGTTATTTAGTTAACATATTATTAAATATTAGATTTCAAAACATGCAAAACAAAAATTTTTTAAACAAATTCCAAATAGATTCCTTAAAATGTTACCCCATTGTGTCATTCAGGCGTTAATCATTATTAATGCTTTTCTAAAGTACGCGTGTGTATGAATTAGATTTTTTGGATTCAAAATATTTCCATTTTAATTCGAAAATACGGAAAAATTAATTGAAAGATGGATGATACAGCTTATTTGTAATCAAAACTAAAAAATCAAATTATTGAAGAGTAGAGAAATTAATCTGTGGACGCCAGCTTTATAACCTACATATTTTTACATCTCTTTCCATTTTTTCCCTTCTTACTTCCTGGTGTACAAACCAGCTCGGGAAATCTGGTCATGGCAGTTCACATCATCATAAGTTTTTTAATTGATTTTTTCAATAATTTTATATTTTTACCTATTTTCAATTTAATTCAATTTTTATTCATGTGGGTTGCTCAAAAAATTGATGATACTGTAACAAAGGATCATCTTCAAACAGATATATTAGGTTTTGCAAGGTAATGGGAAAATTTTTAAACAACTCTTGAAGGTGTGAATAATTTGCTTAGGCATTTTTTTCAAAATTTCTGCAAAATTTTTTGAATCTGAACAAGATAAATCAGCGCAGAGTCTACCATGCTCAGAGAATCTCTGTTTTAAACCATTAATTACTTGATCCACAACAACGTTGTGAACATTGACTCGAATTTATCTTTCGCGCTGTCAAGCGGTTTGTTGGTTATAATAATTCTTCTCTCCTTTGAAACAGTCTGCACTTCATTGTCGAGATTAGTTCCCTTTGGTTCACTGTTTACAAATTTTGAGAAACTTGTAATTGCTAAAAAATTGAATTAAATATAGTTAGATTTCTTATGTAATGATTTTGCTGTTTCAGCTCGGTTATATTCAATGCAAATTATTATTTGAATGTATTACATAATAAAAATAATTTCGGTTAAAACTAAAAATGTAATAACTTTCTTTTGGCAGTTGGCAGCCGTGGCCAACCGGGAATTTCTCGCTGTCCCGGTGGCCCAGTCCAAGCCCGCTTCCTTACTTCCTATGTGCATGTGCGTGTGTGTGTGTATGTGTGTGTGTGTGGGTCGTTGGATGTGCAAATTTTATTGTTTATTTGTTTATTTCTCCACTCCAGTTTATGTGCTTATTTTTATGTTTATCAATAAATTGCAAACAATCATCAACCAGCGTCATATGTAAGTATATTTTTGCTTATCTATCTATCTTTATCTTTCTCTCTCTTTCTCGTTTTTTTAAATGTGTGTGTTTGTGTGTGTGTGTGTTTGTGTGTGCGTAAACGTTTGAATGTGTTCATGTATGTCCAGTATGTTTGCATATTTTTATATTTATGTATAAAGTGCACTGAAGTGACCAATCATGATTATGCAAATAAACTCAAATGCACATGTATACATGTATACTTATACGTGTACGTGCATATATTCATTATCATATATTGATGCATGAATATAAATTAGCGGTAAACCGACCAATCATCGTTGAGCAAGAATTGACACATTAACTATATAAGTGGCTTGTGATCAACATTTAGGAACAATACCTCAAGAAAACAGAAAATATATTTTTTACTTTTTGTCTAAAACATCTGATGCATTTATTTTAATAATTTCAATTCTAAATTAAGAAAGATTGTATTCGTCATTCGGACCAACTTGGTCGAAAAAACATGGAAAAGATGGCAATGTTCTTCTTGATGGCAACCCGTTAGTTTAATTTCAATTCATTGTTCAAAATATTTTATTGACATTTTCAGATACTGAATAAATTAAATAGTATTAAAAACAGTTTGTTAAAAAAGTTTCAAAATTCAGTGTACCGTATTTTGTAACCATAAATAATTCTTTAGTCATTTTGTGATTTAATTTTATTACACGCATGTTTCGACTATTAGTATTTATTTAAATGATATAAATTTGAAGCAAAGTTGTTTTGTTTAATTCGAAAGTGCATGTGCAACCTTAAAACAACTTCCAATTTAAAAACAATTGCAACACTCTAAACTTTAACTACTTTTCCTATTATATCAAAAAAGAGTATATCAACCGGCTAGATGTTTCAATTTTGTGGAGACAATGAAGAAATGAATGCAAAATACTCACAAGATATTATGATATTATTATTATATAATATTTTTCAAGAGTATATTATTGTAATTAGTTACAATTGTAATTGTAATTTTATTGTAATTTTGTTTGACGCATAAAGTTTATTATGTCATGAAAATTCATCTCATTAAAATTTTCATTGAAAGTGTGATGTTGTACGTTTTTATAACTTGGCGTTAAAATGACGCACAAACGACCCTGCAGTTTCAGTGATGTCTGGCATAGTCCACTGCAGCGACCACTCCAAATCAGTCAGTCCAGAATTAGGCGAGCAAGGCCACGATGCCAATCTTCTGAGGATCCTTGAAGAGCCCCAACAAGAAGATTCGAACAAGAGAGCCATCGGAATGTTGAGGATGGGCAGGTCACTTCCTTATTACACGGATGACGATGCCGGCATGAAGAGGGCAGTGAGCTACTTGAGGATGGGTCGTAGCGGTCTGAACGACAAGAAGGCCGTCAATATGCTGAGAATGGGCAAACGGGTGGTCTCCTTGCTGCGCATGGGCAGATCTTCAAGCGCCAACAACAACCAACTTGATGAGCAATACGACGAAGAAGCCAACAGTCCTTCAAGAAAATTTTTCTACGATAGTCCAAACTATTTCGTCGACGACGCCGAGAAAGAAAATTATAAATTAGCCCACGACAACAAGAGAGCTGTTAGTATGCTGAGAATGGGCTGAAAAATTGTTTAATTTTTTCCATATAAACAACTCTACGCCATTTTGAAATGTAAAAACGCCAATAGTAATTTTTTAATGTTGATTTTGAATGTTTTTTAATAAGTAATTTTTAAAATGGTTTTGATGAAAAGAACTATAAAAACTAGTTTTTTTTAAATGCATTCAAACGTTGATAATAAAAGTTAAATAATAGTGAATGAGCAGAAGGAAAGCATACCTGAACGAGACCGTTGTTAATGATTTGTTCTATTTAAAATCCAGAAAAAAATTAAAAAGTTTAAAGTTAAAAATGTAGAAAGTTCAATTTGCTAGAATCTCTAACTTCGATGTTAAGTCAATTTCAATTTCATTAATTCTGACTGGCGCTCCATTTATTTTTTATCAAATGAAGCAACATTCACATGAAAAGTGATTGCAAGTAACATTATTTATTCATTTGTTTTTTCATTTCTGAAAACATTTGAACATTTAACTACACTTAAGGGAGTGTACAATATCTGTCTGCAACACTTTAAACAAAAATGTAATAAAAACATTTTAAAAACATTTTAGTAATAATGAGTGGCTGACTAATCTAACTGAAAATGTTGAAATTGATGATAGGATGAAATGTCTAACGAATCTCATACAAAATTTTTACAGCCGATACTAAGCCGATATCCATTTGAGCACCATGCTTATCTCTGTATCTTATCAATTCAGCCACATAAATTCAATCAAATAAATACGCGTTAGAGAAGAGTGTGTCCGTTCATGTCCAGACCAAAAACACTCTCTATCTCTTTCAAATCGAAACAAAGCAGTCGGTTAATGTTTACATGCACTGGTCGATCCCAGCGGGGAGGGGGGTAAGAGGGTACCAACATGTTTGATGGGGTGGCCAAATGATCATTCAATACCTATACAAAATAAAAATCTTAAATATACAATACTCCTTACAAAATCGCATTCAAATAAAAAAAAATATTTTGATAGGCAAACTTCCATTCTGCGTTTACGATAACTCGTTTTCAACAGAATGAAATTAAAATGAATGATTTTCTACAAAATAAGTTAAACGAGGTTCAAGATGATAGAATTTAATTAAAATGAGACCATCTCGAGTAGCAGGCATCGGTTGAGGTTTAATTCAATTGAGCCTTTCAATTAGATCAAATGAAATTTAATCATTGCGAATATGAACTGCACAACAGTTTTAGAATGTATGGATGTATTAAAATAAAATTACTGTAAATATTGTGAAATATTTACAGTAGGAGCAAAATTGTAAAATTATCAAATAAATTTTTAAAAATCGTGTCAATATTTCGCATTTTTAAGAAGTGGATTGTTGATTCTTTTAACTGGTTTAATGAAAATTTGTTTTTTTTAAATTTGTTTTTTCAAAATTAACTGAACATTTAGAAAGCACAAATTTGTTATTATCTGCCATGAACATAATTCGTTGGAATTGTGATGCGTATCGTTCTTATGATCTTCATTTAGAAAATTTAACTTTCTCTACGTACCGATCGATGTAAAATTCAAAATTTAATCAAGTATTCGCCAGAGGAAGCATCCAGTTTTTAACTTTTGTCTAGTCTGTGTTCAATTATTTTTCATAAATATTTCCAAGTTGATGAAGAAATAGCTTAAATATGTTTTATTTTCATAATTTGATATGATAACTTTATTTATCAGCAGCTAAAATACAGAAGCAAAACTTTTATTATCTCAACATGTTGCCATTTCGATTTACGCACATAAATGTATGGTACAAATCAGAATAATAATTCATGTTCGTCCATGTTCATGTTTACGTTCGCGTTTATTTATGTTTCCGTTCACGTTTATGCTCTCGTTCATACAAATGTTCAGGCACACGTCCAGAGGATATTACACTTCCTGCTGACATTGAGAGGAGGTCCAATTAGTTCAATTGCCTGTGAGCTCGTGCCGTCAATTAAAACAATCATAATTTTTATAGAATATTATTTACAAAGAAATGTTATTTAAATCGATAAACGATAATATTGTTTATTGTACATAATTTTTATAAAGTCATTCATTTGAATTTCACGCATAAATTGTAACTGTTCTTCAGATCGCTGAGTATGTTGGATTGGATGATGTAGGAGGGTACTTGTCGGTCGTTTATGCAAACTAGTGGAGGCGATGAGAGACTGGATGACGACGACGACGACGATGATAGTGATGTTAATGATGATGCCGAGGAGGAAAAAAATGATGCAGAATAAGATGGTGACGTCAACAATATTGGTGGTGATTGTTGAAATGATGGATAAAAAAAAGTTGAGAAAGAAGAATGGGACATTGACTGAGATGATGTTGATGACGACACTAACAATGGTGATGAGCACGATGATGATGTTGGTGATGTACGCAATAATGGCGATGGTGACGAAAATGAAGATGAATCTGAAAGCGCTGGATTGTCATTGTTATGTAAACAGAGAGGAAGTGACGTCAGAGATGACGTCGATGATGGCAAAGGTAGCAATAACGACGTTGGTGATGAATGTAATAACGATGGTGCTGGGAACGATGAAAGAGACAAGGACAATGAATATTTTTCTTTCAACGTCTCATCTAATTCTGGAAAGTGGACGAGAGTGGATGTTTGGTTTTGTTGTGTGGAGCATTTAATGGTGTCACCTGTCGAATTTTCTGCGAGATGGTTGTGTCTTTGCGTCGTTAGGAATAGCATTTTTGCCAGTTCACCAGCTTCGTTTCTACTTATTTGTATTTTAAGATCTGTAATATTTAAAAAATACATTTTCGTTATTAAACTCATCAAAAAATGTCTTGCCACTATATTAACAACAACATATCTGTCACTAAATTAAATTGCAAATTTTATAAAAAGTTGAATCATTAACGGGTAAAAATTCAATAAAGTAAGCCAAAAGATAATGAGCATCATCTATAGAGAAAAGAGCGTTGAACACGCGCGAGCCGACTGGAGAGGCTCATTAAGATCTACCTTGCTACATTCAACAAGAACATGTCAACTGATTTAAAAACTGCAAAGAAAAATCAATATTCAGCTTCGTTAATGTTTTATGCAATTACATGCCGCTCCATTCCTTCTTTCGTCTATATGTTTTGTATTATGTTTTGAATTAGCATTCATGCTAGTTAAAAATAATTTTTCATCTTTAAATTTACAAATTATTTTTTAAAATGGTTACAAACACCACAACTTTCTAAATTTTTTTAATATTTGCGCGTGTTTCTGGCCAAACAGTAGCTTAATTTATATAAATAATTGAATATTTCTTGCTCTGTTAATTAAAATGTCTATGAATTTATGTTGTAAACTTCTAAACACGTAGCAACAACACAAAATAGATGAAAATGCAGGAGCCAACTTGTTTGTGGAGAGGAAGTTGCAAATGTTTGCTGAACATTCTCGTCAGGATGTGCCCCGTGATGGCAAGCATTTGCAAGTTGTGCTCCTTCAAACTCATGTTGATGCTCTTGAGTACTTTGTTGTTGTTTCTGTTGATGGTGTTGTTGTTGATAATGTTTTTGTTGTTGTTGCTGTTGTTGTTGTTGCTGTTGTTGTTGTTGATGGAACATGATGTTTTGAGCGAGAGCCTCATGCAACTGATCAATGTATCGAATCGTGCCTTCAATCACATCCACCTTCAGCAATTTGCAACATTTATTTCTTTTAAATTATTCTTCAAATACATTTTTGTGGGAGTGAGAAAATAAAATTTGTATTAATCATTTAAATTGTCAATCGACGAATTAAAAAATTAAACAAACTGAAATGTGAACTAACGCCAACCAACCCTTGTAATTTTTTTCTGCGTTTTTCCAAATTCATAATTTTTTTTATAACAACTACATTCAGAACTGTCGTTATTGTTGTCCTTGTCGTTAATTTCGTTGTTGTTAATGTTGTTGTTGTTATGTCTAGTGTTTGTCTGGAAGTTGAGGCATCTGCACTCTTCACAAGGATTATTTTTCTTCAGCCAGGGAACTAAATTGCGTAATTTATCAAATTCTCTTTTTTGGAGTGCTTTGATGTGAGACTTTCTGTACTTGATGGCAATCCTTCTACCGGCCAGCAGCCTGGCTTTGATGATGGGAGAGCTGATGTTCGAGAAGATCTCGCGACTGTTCATCCCCCTTGTTCTCCTACGTTGAAATGTTCCGCTTCCGTTCATGCCTCTTTGAGGTGCTGGCTCCATTCTCAACTGTTAACGAACGTTATTTGAAAGTATAAAATATTCATATATGCTTGCCAATAAAACATGCTTTAATATTTTATCTTTCCGCAAAAATTACAGTTAAAAGACAACTAGCATAATTTTTGCAGTAAACTTTACGAAACAATCACAATTTTTTAATTTTTACGAGATGGAATCATTAAAACAGTGAATCATAAATAATTGAAATAAATATAAACAACCACCAAGTTGTGCTTGCATAAGTATTTTTTGCATTTTTGATTACATTTATGTGATAGAATAAGAAAACCACCCTACATATTGCAAATACGTTCACAGTTGAGGGTGTATTTTATAAAAGACACATATACTCTGAGTGCTTTCTAATGCTAAAATATTTTAAATGCGTTTAAAATACCTGTGAACATTCAAATAATTTGTCTCAAAAATTTGAAGATAAAATACTGAATTAAGCGTTTATAACTTTTGAATGTGCTAACTTGTCTTAATTTTATAGCAATAACATTTAAACGGTTGAATAAAAGTACAAACAAATTACAAACCTAATTTTTGATTGTACGGATAGTTATTCCAAAAATGGATGAAAATAAAAATTTTTTGAAAATGTGGATGAAAGTAAGTAAATTAAATGAAACAAATTTTGTATTGTATTGTATTGTTTTGGAATTTAGCTGAAAAACGAAAATAAACACAGAAGTCAGTTGGATGGATGGCGCGGAATCCGATGAACGTTTTATAGATCGGTTAAGTCGTATCTTCCATACATAACTGATAACAAGATGTCTCTTCTATATGTACGTTGTGCATACAATAGGTAATGTACACTATGCTAGTATGCTTATACAATCTATACAATATATATATATATAATATTGTATATATATATATATAATGTATATATATAAATTATATATATATATATTACATACATATATATATATATATATATTACATATATATATATAATATTACATATATATATATATATATATTACATATATATATAATATTACACACACACATATATATATATATATATATATATATGTAATATTTTTTATATGTATAAATATCATATATATGTATTTACATATTTATAGATTGATGCATGTTAAAAAGTTATCTTATCAATTTTTATCAAAAAATGTAACATAAGATTTGCCAAAAAAATATTTGAATAAATTTATTAAATATTTATATGAAATATTTAGATATTTATATATGAAAGGGCAGGTTGGCAAAGAGGAGATTCCATCTAAGCCAGGGGTGGGCAAACTACGGCCCGCGGGCCACATGCGGCCCGCAAAGCTATTTTATGTGGCCCGCCCGCGTGACCTTGCTCGCTTAATAAAAGGTCGTCAACCAGACATTATGACCAAAAAAAGGAGCCACAAATCTTAAAAAATTCTCCCCTTCAAAAATAAAATTGTTCTCAATGCGGCCCTCACAGCAAAAAGTTTGCCCACTCCTGATCTAAGCATCTAAGCCAGCCTCGGATTTGCAAATATTTTGACGAACCAATGAGAACTAAACCTCTTTATGAACAATTTTTCTAAATGAGCGTGTAACTGCTTTCATTGAAAAAACAGAAAATTACTCACAATTATCAAAATGTTGAACTATTGTAAAATTCAATGAGATTATCACTTTTGTGTGAAGTTATTTGTATTCATATTGAACATGTTTATAAAATTATATTACCCAAGGATGAAAGTTACCCTTTGCAAATACTAAACATTTTTTTACAATAAAACTCTTATGAAAAGTTTCAATAATAAATAAGTTTGATTTACAGATCTTTTTAAAAGATGCAATGTTCATTTTTTATTTAGAATTCATAAACGAAATTTTAATTTAATTTTACATTAACGAATAAACTCTTTCGCAATATTTTCTCTTTTCAAGTCAATCAAATACTCTTATTGCCTTTGCAATTTTCATATAACACGCACATGACCGTTACATTGATGAGTTCATGACCAAGTATTTCCATGCATAGCTCCTCTTCCAAACGTTTAGGAATGAAATAGCATTAGCACATAGACACACAAACACGTGCAACAGCATTAAATATAATAACTTAATAAAGTGTAAATGTGCCTGAATGAGTGTCTTTTTCAACTTTGCTCACGCACAAATGAACACGTACGTGCGGGCAGATAGTCACATGCACACGCACACACAGGCAGATATTCACATGCACACGCACACACAGGCAGATATTCACATGCACACGCACACACAGGCAGATATTCACATGCCTCGATGCCAGCACTCCATTCATGTTTTATGGGGAAGCCTTCCATGATGGATCAATAAGTGAATACAATAACAATTCCCGGCCGAACATGCTTCTCCTCCTCCATTGTTTTTCCAACAACAAACAATAGTGCACAAAATATACAACATACAACTACCTACAACATGCAACGATATACAACGACACACAAAATTTTTTGCAGCGTTAAAATATTAGTAAGTGGTTAATTGAAATTTATCTTGTTCAGTATATTCCATATTACATAGAACAAAATTTTTATTAGTCGTGTTTTTTCGTATTTAAAAAACATTTTACTGTGATCCCAACGTAACAACATAGCACAACAAACCAACAATAACACAGTACAACAACACAAAATAACAGCATAAAATTCGCCAGAATACTCCGTGTAATGAGAAATTTTCTACGTTAAGCTTATGTTGAAGATTAGCAAGATAAAAGATGTTTCGTTGTTGATGTTGTTGTTGTTGTTGGTGGTGTTGTCGTTAATTTAGTGGTGCCGTTATTGTTGTATTAATGTTGTTGGCTGTGTTGATAATGTGTTATTAATGATGACGACATCATCATTCATCACACGAGCCATGCAAGTTATTTAACTTAAGCACAAATTTTTACTTCACCAAAAAGTAGTTGACAACGTTTTATATTAATCATTTTTATAAAATTTCTTTTTTAATTAAATGAATTAATTTATGATTGTTAAAGTATTATAGTTTGAACATCCAAAGTCATCGTCATCAACAACACTATCATCATCATCATCATCATCATCATCATCATCAACAAAATCATCGTTATCATCATCAACAACAACATCGTCGTCGTAGTCATCATCCAAGCAACCATCGTGCGATACATACCTCAGCTTTAAAGACCAACCAATGCAATGCAATGAATAGCCTGAGTCACGTTTCATTGCTGCAGCATCCGCTCAACGATGTACACACACATCTCGTTGTACAGTCTCGTTGTATACATCTGCGTGCACAAATGCGTCGTACACATTTCAATGCATGCTGTACGCTCATGTACATCTGTGTTGGACATGAACATATGGTGACTTGCATATCATGGCTATCATTCACAAGAAAGTTCAAGATGATGACGGTTGATTTATTGACGTACATCGTGATGCCAAGTAAACAAGCTTCTTTGCTCTCTTTTAACAGTTTCATTTTAAATCTTTTGTCATATTTTTAACAAAATAAACCAAAGTTAATATTCATCTGCAGAAGTAATAATTATTTCATCAAAAATCTTAAAAACCCAAGATTAAATTATCATTATTTATCGAATCTTCTGTGCTTATCAAAACTGTATAATCAAAGAATAAATTCTCATCATCATCATCAGCTATCAATTTTAAACGCATCTTCATCTTTATCTTCTTCATCACCATCAAACGTCATCATCATCATCATCATTACCACACATCGTTATAATCACTACACAGAATCTTATCGTCATCATCGTCATCATCATCATCATCGTCCTCGTCATCGTCATCATCATCATCATCATCATATGCAGACCACCCTTTCTATGTACGTACATTATTATTTTAACGAATGCAATTCTGTCTGACCACTTAAGCATGAATATTGATGAGGCCAGTATGATCGGCCAGTTGCGGTAGGTTGGCTGGCTAGTTGGATGGTTGGTAGGTTAGTTGACCAGTTGGTAAGTTGGTTGGTAGGTTGGATGATTGGTTGGTTAGTTTGTAAGTTGGTTGACTGGTTTGTTAGTTTGTTAGTTGTTTGGTTGGTCAGTTGATAGATTTGTTGACCAATTAATAAGTTGGCTGGTTGATTGGTTGGTCGATAAGTTGGTTGGTTGATTGGTTGGTTAATAGGTTGCTTGATTGATTGGTTCGTTGATTGGTATATTAGTTGGCATGCTGGTTGGCATGTTGGTTGGTTGATTGGTTCGTTGATTGATAGGTTGCTAGGTTGATTTGTGGGTTGGTTGTTAAGCTGGTAAGTTATTAGGTTGGTTGGTTTGTTAGTTGGTTGATTGGTCATTTGGTTGGTCAGTTGGTTGGTCAGTGCATCTTATTAATTTTGCTCTCTGTCCATTCTCTGCGTATGTTGTGTAAACATTTGTTGAGAGCTCTGTCATTTGTTCAAACAAAATAATATTTGCTCATACATTTACATATATACATACATACACATATACAATAATACATGAATAAATAGAGGTATATATAAATAAATATACACACACATATATATATATATATATAATGACATCAATCTATGTATATATATATATATATATATATATATATATACCACTTGTGTACATGCACTGTATACACGTTCGTACGTTCAGACCGACTGACAAGAATCCAATTTTGAAAATGGATTCTGCATTGATTTTCATTACGCCTAATTAGTGATTATACCACATATACACGCACACACACACACTCACACGCACACACCACACACACGAAAATACAGACCCAAAGATTGTTTATAATGATGTGGTATGTGGTGATGCTGTCATGAGTGAGGTGATGATGTTGTGATGTGTGGAACGATGATTTTTTGATGTGAAAATGTGATAATGCATGTGTGCATAGTAGACCATATATGTATGTATGAAAGAACATGTATGTACGTATGAAAGAACATGTATGTACGTATGGAAGACCATGTATGTATGTATTAGGACCATGTACGTATGTATAGAAAATCATGTAATGCCTGTATGG